AAAAGAGCCAACTCTGCATTCTAGGAAGATTGGAATTACTGAATATAATTCTTTAAATATTTAAGAGATCCTGCTGGTCTCACTGGCTGCAGATGATGGTGTTGGTCCCACACATTGGAGAGATGCCATGTTGAGGAGGAAGGACTATGCTAGGTCAGAGGATTTAAGGGAGAACAGTAGCAAAAGAGCTAGTTTTTTATATAAAATGTAAGTAATTCTTCAAACATCTCTCTATTCCCTCTCCCCAGTATAATGATCTACCTCTCTTGTTGAAGAATTTAAAATCAAACAAGGAAAGCTAAAGTGGAAAATGGGAAGAAAATTTGTCTGATTTAGATTTCTAATATTTGAATTAGTCCCATTGAGCTCCCTGGAATCTAGGCTTAAGACTTTACTGTGTTTGTTTTAGAGATGTTAGTAATACAAAATACACCAAATGAGAATAAAATACTTTACCCACTTTAGTTGCAAGTCAATGTGCAGTTAACTATGTTCTTAATTTATGAGGTCACTATAAGAATTATGGTTTTATTGCAATGCCTGCTAATTAATCATCCTGATCTAAAAGTTTGATACAAAAAGTGCCATTAAAGGTAATTGGCTGGAAAATACCATGAATGAATTGGACAAGACAGGTATGGCCATCTAAAGTTAGAAGCATTTCCTGCCTTGGTGCCAGCATTTAAGAGTTTTGTTCCTTCATCAGCAGTTTTCTGCCAATTTTTAACTGAGTTTCTGTTGCTTATTCCAGGCACCTTGATGGAACTGGTTTCCATTAATGGTTTATTGTATGGTATGAGTTTATAGAATAAAATTTACATCAATCTTTATATGACAGTCATCTGGAAAATGAAGTTGGTATGGGTTTTACATTTGGGGATTAGAAAGAATTATTTCATAATTATTAGAATGAATATTTCTATATAATTTGGGACACCTTTTTCAGAGCCATTTGGATTTATTTATTGCTATATTTCTTCTCATCTTGCTGTATCACTTTTTAATGGAACACCCTGCTTGTTCCTTCTTGTTGATTAGGACATACTGTAGTCTGATTTGGTGAAATAAACTTTTAAAATTGCTCAATCCTGCTCAGTACGGTATCATTGCTCGGTACTGTTCAGAGAAGCTGTATTTTTTTTTTTAAGGGAAGTAGACTGAAAGTTTATTTTTCCTGTAAATCCATCTTATTGAAATCATTGTAGCACAGCCTCCCCAACTTTCATGCATTCCAGATGTGCTAAGACTACAACTCCAGGCTGCCAAGGAATTCAGGGAGTTGTAATCCCTACATGGCTTCAAAGTGGCAGGGTGGGGGAGACTGAAACCCAGTTCTTACACTGGAAATCACAGTTCTGATAAGAACCTGGTTCCAATGAAAAAATCCTTGATTTTTCAATCTACAGATAATATAGGTGAAAGAAAACCTATTGAATTGACATGACTACAGTATTAATCTTTAACCTAGAAAACAAGTGGGAAGTATTCAACACATGAAACAACATTCTGAGTTTCCTATTGTGTACCATGTCCTTCTACTAAGATAGTAAAGAGAGAACAGTATTGTAACTAACTATGGCTGGTCTCTTCAAATCTCCATGCATCCTTGTGTAGCTGCCTCTCTGGGTAGCTTTTCTCAGACACCTGTAAACAATGCTTTCTGACATTTTAATTTCTTTGTGTATCTGTACGTGTGTTTGTCTTGGGTTGCCTTCCACTTATAGCATTTCACTTGGAAATGACACTAGGTATTTCTGTCTCGCTTTTCTCTCACACCTTTGCTTGATTTCTTACTAGTTTCCCTCCTTTCTTGTTCACCTTTACACTTTTCCTGTCCTAAACTTGTTTCCTTCCTTTTGCAATTTGTCTTCCACTTGCTTGTGTCTCAGTGAACTTAGTCTTAGCTCTTTTGGTTTTTGCAAGATGCTTCAGATCTCTTAATGTGAAAATGTGTGATGTTTAGAATGGGATAGTAACTGTGCATCAACCAATAGTCAGATCCTCTTTACCAAGAGTCAGCTGTTGTTCTTAGAAATGAATCTATTGTTAATAAATTATCTTCCAACAGGTGGATTGGTGTCTCTTATTATTAAAGAGGCTTCTGACTATGTTGATTCTGAATGTTGGTGAGCTGTGATAGTGGAATGCCAGAATATTTTTAAAACTTGAGGATGCTCAGACAGAAAGAAAAGAGAGTCCCAGTATTTTGATCACATTTGGAAAGTAATTTCTGAAAGGGTCTGTGGTATATCAAAAAATTAAAATTGAACCAAATATGTTTCACAAGAAAAAAACATCATAACTGAAAATGCGATTGAAAGGGGGTAGGTGGAAAATTGGGCATGTGTTACAATTATCAGAGCCCCTATCTCCTTTGGGTGTTCCAGCATGACAAGAGCAGCTAATATGCCATGCATTTTATTCTTTATGGAAATCCTGATTTCTGAAGTGGCATAATATTCCATAGCGCTGTAGGGAGCTTATGGACTTTGCCTGAACAACCAAGCTGTTGGCTTGTCCAAGCAATACAGGCAGGAAAGCCCAGAGTACAGTCTGACTGGGCTCCGACTTTCATATACAAATGTGATGGCTTGTGCATATAAGGCTGCTATAAAGAGCAGATATTGTTCAAATGTGGAATGAGAAATGAGAGTGACTGTCTCAATCATAACACCCACGGTTAAGGAATTAGGCAAAACTAAGCAAGCTCATCCTTCTTATTAAAAGTTAGGGTTTTATATTTGATTGTTTTGTTTCCAATGAAAAGGTTTTTATAAAATTGCAAGATACTATCCCTATTTTATGAAATCCTAAGTTTTATTCATAGGTGGGTCACACAAATTCATTTATCATTTTAGGGTCACGGCACAGCAAAATTTGAGAACCTCTGGACTAATATCTACAGAATGTATTTTGTACATTCAGGATTACAGGAATAATAGTCCATAATTTTGGAAATTGTGGTTATGCACAAAAAAGCAAAAAACCATGGTAAATTAGCTGAAAACACTTTTATGAAATAACAGACTTTTGGCCAAGGTAATACTGAAAATGTTTCTAGAGATGTAGAATTGAATGCGACACTGAGCATCCTCACTTTTTCTTTTTTCTGATTATGCTTGCCAAAAATTAGTATCTCCTTCCAATGGAAGAAAGATTATTTATTTTAATATGTTTGACTGAAGAGATGTGGCCTTGGAGTGCTTTAGGCAACATTTTAAGGTGACCAATTATTTCTAGATCAAGGAAGGATCTTTTCAACTGCTATCCAAGTATCTTGCTTCTTGACCACTTTCTCTTTTAGAGGGCATCTTAAATTGCATTTTTGGATGATCTCTGGAGGGAACGGGATGGGGTAGTGCATCCATCCTGGTTCTTCTTGACATCTCAGTGGCTTTTGATACCATTGACTGTGGTATCCTTTTGGATCAGCTCCAGGAGTTGGGAGTGGGTGGCACTGTACTGTGCTGGTTCTCTTTCTTCCTTTGGGGCTGATACCAGTCAGTGTTGATTGGGAGTGAGAGGTCTCGCCCTCTGCTCCTTCTGTTTGGGGTGCTGCAGGATTTGGTGCTCTCTCAACTGAACCCTGGCAAGACTGAGTGGCTTTGGGTTTTAGGGCCTTCCAAATCTAGGACTTTGCCATCTTCAGTACTGGATTGGGTGGCATTGCCCCAAACAGACCAGGTGTGCAACCTGGGGGTCCTTCTGGACTCACGACTTCTGCTCAAGGAGCAGGTGGGTGTTGTGGCCAAGAGAGCCTTGCACAACTACATGTTCTGCGCCAGTTGTGCCTGTTCCTGGATTGTGAGGCTCTGCTCACAGTTATTCACACCCTGGTCATCTCCCAAATGGACTTGTATAACACACTGTACATGGAGTTGAAGAGTATCTGGAAGCTTCAGTTGGTGCAAAATGCAGCAGCATGGTAGTTATGTGTACCCCAAAGGACACATGTTACACATCTACTCTGTGAGCTGCATTGGTTACCAGTTGCTTCCAGGCCCAATTCAAGGTGTTGGTTTTAACCTTTAAAGCCCCACATGGCATGGGGCCAGGTTATCTGAGGGACTGCCTCTGCCCTATTACATCTACCCATCCCATCAGGTCTGGCAGGAGAGGCATGTTGTGGGTCTCGCCTGCTAAGGAATTCTATCTGACGGGACCTACAAGACAAGCCTTTTCTACTGCAACACTTGCTCCTTGGAACCCTGAGGTGAGGTTAGCCCCAACCCTTATGGCCCTCCAGAAAGCCCTCAGAACATGTTTTTTTCATCAGGGCTGGGGATCCCCTGACAGCAGGGAGCCTGCACATGGCTGTATCATGCATAACATTCTGATTTGGACCTCTCACGATCTTGGTTTTAATAATTTAATTGTTTTAATTGGTTTTATAATATGTGTAAATCATTGGTTTTATTGTATGCTACCCAGAGCCATCTTGTGTGAAATGGGCGGCCATATAAATTTGATAAATAAATAAATTAATTTTAAAAAATCCAAGATAAGAATGAGGCAATAGATCTCACAACTGCTCAGGACTATTTGGTCAGAAGTATGGAGCAATGGGTGCTATTTCTGTCAATAGAGATCTGATACACTCTCAGCTCCGATCCTCTGTTTATTGTTTAATGCCCCATGTCTAAGTAACTCCCTTTTCAAGTGCTATTTTCCTCTTCCCCTGTTTTTCTGTCACCCACTCTTTTTCATAATTTCTGTGTAGCTGAAATCATCTCTAACCATATGCGACCAAATTTTTGCAAAAATGATCCCAGAATTTATAGCCCTAAGGCCTTCCTTGAGAATTCCCAATGATGCTTTCACTTTTGCCTTTAAAACAAGGTACTGTTTTGGGGCCAGAGTACTCCAGAATGGCTACATCATTCAGACAGATCTGTGTGTGTGTGTGTGTTTGTGCATGTTTGTGTTTTGTTGCTGTTAACAATGTTTTGGTAATAGTTTGTACTCTTTTTTTAACCAAGCATCTTGCTTTTTTTCTGCAGGACATTTTACCAGTTTGAAGCAGCGTGGGATAGCTCCATGCATAACTCTTTACTCCTGAATCGTGTCACCCCTTACAGAGAAAAAATCTACATGACCCTCTCTGCTTATATTGAGGCAAGACCTATCAGTGCCTTCATAATACCCTCTGTGCAAATGTCAGATGAACGTTGGCATCTGTGAGGCAGTGTGTCAAAATTTGTGAGATGCCAAGCACAGTCTCATGATCCAATTCCACTTGCATGCAACCAGGAATATAGATCAACTTGAGATAGTGTTTAATACTTTGTTACCAATGAAACCCACCCTTGGCTGATGTTGAGAAAGCTACCTGAGACCAGATCTGATTAGGAGCTGGATGAATTTGAGGCATGTGGGCTGGACTCAAAATCCCCCCCAAACATCCCAGAAGACAGTAAGAAACCAACTTATGTAGGGTTGCAAGAAAATTACACAGACATAGACGTGTAATCATCAGTTTAAACTTGACTTGAGCAAATTTTTAAAATATTCACAGTATATTAAGAATATTCTTTCATTTCAGATGGAGAACTGCACCCAACCAGCTGTGGTCACCAAAGATTTTTGCATGGTCTTTTACTCTAGAGATGCCAAACTCCCTGCTTCTCGATCAATCCGCAATCTTTTTGGAAGTGGAAGCCTTCGAGCCTCAGAAAGGTAAGAAAGGCCAAGAGTCAAGCACATCTTATTAGGGTAAAGAATACACTCCTGATCAACTGTCATGGAGGCTATATGTATACATCTTAGTAGAAGTTAACTATATTACATTCACAGTTTTAACTAAGGGCTGTTAGGATCCATATGAAACTCTCAGCTTAGGATTCAAATACACAAAAATAGAGTTCAGTCCCCTCTTCTTGAAAGAGGAGGTGGAGTAAAATGATTCCTTGAATGTACCATGTGCATAAGAATGGTGTATCTTCTATTAGCTTGTTCTGTTCTTCACTCTTTCCGCTTTAGTAACCGTGTGACTGGGGTCTATGAGCTCAGCCTTTGCCGAGTTGCTGATGCTGGTAGTCCAGGTAAGAAGTCTTGTCATTATGATAGATCTTCATGAGGTGTTGGGCTTATACTTAAACGGAAGGGATATAGCATTAGAAGGCAAGACTTAATTGTTCCCATAACATATATAATATTAATATGTTGCATGTGCTTTATAAATCACAGCTATGCTGAATAAAGATTTCCTCTGTAGGTATGCAAAGGAGACGAAGGCGTGTGCTGGACACCTCTGTGGCCTATGTACGAGGAGAAGAGAATTTGGCTGGGTGGCGACCCCGTAGTGATAGTCTCATCTTGGATCATCAGTGGGAACTGGAAAAACTGAGTCTTCTACAAGAAGTAAGACTCTAGCTTGAGGCCCAATAACTCTTGATTCCACATCAACTTAGTCTTGCCCAACTAATGGGGCAGGCGGTGAGGGTTGGTAATGTAGAGTAAAACACTTAAAACACCCTTCCCCATCCTGGACGCCCTCTAGAGGTATGGATTCTAACTTGCTAAATTCTCCACTCAGCATGGCCATCCCTGATAATGGAAGGTGTCTACAGCAAACTAGCCTTTTTTGTTTGTTTGTTTCTTCAACTTATATGTCGCTCCATTTCCAGGGACTCTGATCAGTTAAACTTCTGTTTACGTGATTTATAAAAATGAGAAATGGTCTGTAACACATACAGCTTTTTGTCATGAAGCATAAACAACAGTATTTGTTATAGGTATGCTAACTGTTTAGTGCTATAAAAGCAGGACTCTGTTTAAGCCCAAAGGCAGACCAAGGCAGGGTTATCCCACTCCCCTTTTTCACATATATTTATTTCAGACTGTGGAGGTTTGTTAGCTTCAATGGAGAATGTTTTAGAAGTAATTACTTTAACATAATGGAAACCATTGCCCAGGTAGCGGCCATGCTCTCCTCCGCCTTAAAATCCATTTAGGGAATGGCTTTGTGTTTTTGAGGCATTCAGAATAACAGAGAAAGCACATGGCACCATGCTATCAGCTAATATAGTTATTATGATATACAAAAAACAGATTATTAGACAATTTCATGACAGACATTTTTAGTTCCTTCTCATTCAGTTATACCTGAGGATCTCATCATATGTCAGTTTCCTAAGCAGAGATGAATTAAGAAAAATATTTTTGCCCAATTCCTGTGTTGTGATTTATATGGGGTTTCCTACATAGAGATTAATCTTTGTGTAAAGTGACTCTATGCATTTGTGAGCTAAACCTGCAAGAGGTTTCTTTCTGTAGGTTGAGAAAACAAGACATTATCTGCTCCTGCGTGAGAAGCTAGAGACAACTCAGCGCTTAGGTCTAGATTCCCTGTCCTCAAGCTCCAGTGAAGACTCTGATTCCCGCAGCACATCTTGTGTCTCTTCTCCGGTCTCTGCGGATGGTACCCCAGAAGGGAGGCCTTTACCTCTTGATATTCCTAGTGAGAGGCAGAAAGAACTCGCAGTCAAGGTATAAGAACTGGAATGTGCCAATCTCCTGGGACAGGGGTGGAAAGGTTGGCTTCATATTTTCTTTAAGTATTAGATGGCTGTTGCTGTACCTGCATTCTGAAGGTATTTGGATATTGTCTGCAAGTTCCAGTAATATTTTTTTCTGAAAGTAATAGTCATTTCTGAGTGAAGAGATAGGATTTCTTAGCAGGAAATCTTTCTTAGCAAAGAACACTGCCTTAACTTTCTCTTTCTTAGTCCAGATTTTTCACATATATAATAGCATCTGTCCCAGAAAGCTAAGAGAACACTCTAGACACAATAGTTTATTGTGTCTCTCCAACAAGAATAGGACAACTCCTGATTGAACCTAGATATATTTATATCTAGTGCCACCTAGAGTCTATACTTTATAATGGTATTATCTAGGCATCATTTCTATGAGAGGTGATGACATGGCAGAACTATAGTGGTAAAGACCCACTGAAAATAACTGTAGATTTCTACAATACAGGTACACAATGGTGATTTTTGGCAGCACTAGTTTTTATCATCAGTTATGAATATCTATTTTGTGCCTTTACAAAAACTGATCCCCTTTCCCCAGTTCTTCAAAGGGCTGAACATTTGAGTGAAGTCATTACATATCTTTGCTGCCCTTGGAGAGAGAGAGAGAGACAGGATGGAGACAGCTAGATTGACAGACAGACAGAAAGGCAGGAAGACTGTCTACAGGAACAAAAGTTATCTGACCTTGTTCTACTATAGTTAATTCTGTTCTTCTCAGAATCAAACTTCTGTTGTTTTTTCCTTTCTCTTTCCCCCTTGTTTTGCAGTGTTTGCGCCTTCTTACCCACACTTTCAACAGAGAGTACAGCCATAGCCATGTGTGTGTCAGTGCAAGTGAAAGCAAGGTAAAATACATTCTGTGCTTTCATTTTTTCTATTGTCTGCGTATCTTTTTACCACTCTTATTATCCCCCATATGTTAACCTAATCCATTTCAGAATTCACTCCCAGAATACTGAATGGGGTTTACATTTAGCTTGGGATACATTGGATTTTGGGGCAAAAGAAGAGAGTAAGCTACATACAGCAAAGTACCAAATTCTGATAACCATGAAATGATGGAGTCTCACCACATCTGAGTATGTTCTCATCCTGAACTACTACTTTATGTTGTGGAACAAATTGCAACTTGCCCCAGAGGGCTTACAGTATTCCAACTTCATTCTGATGCCTTGAACTCATAATACGTTTCTTTCATTCTGCATGTACTCCCTTTAGAAGAAAAAGTGACATATGGACATAATTTTTAGACTTTAGGGTGGCTGTTTTTGAAAAGGTCCGGAATATATGGTAGGAAATGTGTTGAAGCAGGCAACCAACATTTGGAGGTATTTGTTTTCAGACAAGCAAATTCAGTGATGGACTTTTTTTATATACAGCTGTCTGAAATGTCAGTGACTCTGCTGAGAGACCCTTCCATGTCAGCCCTTGGTAGTGCTACTTTGACCCCCTCCTCAACCTGTCCATCCTTGATTGAAGGCCATTATAGTACTACAGAAGCCAGGTAAGAAAGGTGGCAAGGCTAAAAATGTCAGGCTTGTTATGTATCAAAGGTGCATACTTTACTAGGAAAAATAAAAACAATTAGTCAAAATGTAATTGAAATTATGAACCTGCTTTTTCTCTGCAGAACTCTCCAGCTCCCCTCCAGGGTGGAAAGTCCTGAAATTGAGCTCACAATTGAAGGAGAGAAAAAGAAATCTCCTGCTTGTGGACCCGAGGATGATAAGGAGATCCAGCGCCTATTGGTTCCTGATATTCAAGAGATTCGTGTCAGGTAAAAATTATGGTCATGGGGAACAATTAGCAATTGGCCAAAATGTGAGTTGTATTCCAATCATTATGATGGGCTGAGCTCATAATACATTTCTCACCTGTATCTCTTCCCTTTAGAAGAATAAGTGACAGGTAAACATACTTTTTAGACTTTCAGATTATAGTGCGATCCTCTGAATTTAGTGATGAGCAGACTCTTTTTCCACAACACACTGAAAATAGTTTGGCTTATCCAGATACCGTTGTGCTTCAGATAAAGATACAGTTAGGAGTGTGATGGATTCCATTCTCTCCCAACGCCTTTATAGGGTAGCTGCTGCTATTTTGATAGTGGCAAGGAAGGAGATTAAGAAGAAAAGGTGAGAAGGATAGGAGAGAAGATAGAAACCTTCCTATGATGGTTAGGGCAGCTGTAGCCACTACCATGTGGTACAGAACTTCGGAGAATGAAGCATTGTGGAAAACGAGTGAAAGAGCATTATATAGCTATTTGACTCTTCCTCCCTTTGTATGTGGAAAGAAAAAGATGAAAGAAACAATGAAAAGACATTGTGACATCTGGTTCCCCATAAAATTCATTGAGCAAGACAATACAAGTTTGTTTGAGAGCACTTTTGGGCTTTTTTTTTTTGGCTCAAACGAAAACCTGAGCTAGAGATGAACCTAAGAATATTATATTTCATTTTATTTGGAAGACAACCATAAATAGGTTTATATTATCAATCAAGGAAATACAGTCTTCAGCAGCTGCGGTGGTATAATATGTTTCAATACCAAAACTAAATGAATGGTGCCAGTTACTCAAGTCTTCCCTCTCATTCCCATTGTTAGGAGTAGTAGTCCATAATGCTTATTTCTGAGGGAAAATCTGTTGATCAACTTACATAGACAGAATGGGAGCAAGATCTTCTGAACCAGAGTAAAAACTAAAGTGATCTTGGACTGTCCCTTATCTTCAGGAAGTTTATTTAAAGTAATATTTAATTATACTTAAGTTAGGAGTGCCTAGACTTATATTTTGTTCCAGCCCCCTTAGCTCCTGCTTTGAGAGGTCCATAAGAGACAAGCATTAGTTAAGTGTGTGTGTGTGTGTGTGTGTGTATGTATGTGTGTGTATGTGTTGGGGAAGGACAAGTATACTGTATGTCCCTCATTTCCTATAATTTGAACACTGATTTAAATTCTGCCCCTTTTTAAAAAATCATTCCACAACCATATTCAACTATTATCTGAAGTAGACATTTTCTCTCCTATAACATTGAAGTGTTTAGCCAAAAATAGTAGAAGTGTTACTTTGCTTGTAACCTTGCTGCATAGTACAGATAGCTGTGTGAGGAAGAAACCAAGGGCACTCACAACAAGCCAGTCTTCCAGATGTGCTGGTGATCACACAGCTGTTCCATATGATTGATTATTAAGCATACACTAAGCAGTTTGTGTGTAATTACTAAGTAGAATGCCAATGTGTCTTCTCTACAGCCCCATTGTCTCCAGAAAAGGCTACCTACACTTTCTGGAACCCCATACAAATGGGTGGGTGAAGCGCTATGTGGTTGTGAGACGCCCCTACGTATACATCTACAACAGCGACAAAGATTCTGTGGAGAGAGCAGTCCTCAATCTTTCATCAGCTCAGGTGGAATATAGTGAAGACCAGCAGGCAATGCTAAAAGTAAGAGAAAAATAAGTATGCCCACAACAAATGCTGTGACTTTTTAAAGATTCTGAGGTGGTGTTCACACAGCACATTGAATCATAAGCAAGCCAACCAAATTTTAGTTTAGTGCATTGGGTGAATTCAGCTTATCTAATCAGTTAATGGTTCAGTGTATTGTATGAACTCAGAAACTCTGCTAATTGAGTAAACAATGCTTCATGTAATCATGAGTAAAGGGTATAAGGTGTAAGCACAGTGTGAGAATCCTGGGGACAGAATATACATTTGGGTTCTCTTCTTTTCTTT